CGAGCGTGTGACGGTAATAACAATAAAGTTATAATAATGATCATCGCAGTAAGGTTATAATGGATAAGGAGAACATTTCTCTGATAATTAAAAAATACCACCGGATCTAGAATTTGGAACGTTAAAAAGACCGAGAAATGAAACTTATCCGGATATTCCTTTGATAAATTTTCTTTTCTTTTGGTTCGTTGTCATGAGGTATTTTCACGTTTTCATGCAGAGAAGAAATGTTAACGTGGTCGTTTAAGTAACAGCTGATGAAGATTCTCAAATAATACTCGAAGAAAAGAAACTACGTGCGTATTTTGTAACGTATGTCGGTCGTGGAAATAATTAAATTTTACAAAGACGAAAAGGTTCAGAGATATGACACAGTTTTTATTACTTCCTTAATTATTTAATTACATTTCACAAAAAGTAAAAGGTTGCCAAGACCAAAACTTGCAATTGAAATTTTAATGAAAATCTTTGAAAGTTTTTTAAGTTTTTTTTGTTCTAAATCTATGCTTTAAAAATAGTGTAAGCTGAGTTGTTTTATCGGTTGCCATAGTTAAAGCTGTGTAAGCAAAAGATAATAGGTTGTGAAAAAGGAGTATTTTAATAATAAAATATGTTGTTCAATGAGTTCGCACATCGTGAAGAATGGCGAATAAAGCTCATACGGAAACATAATGAAAGACAATTTATTATTATGGCGGAAGTCGTGACAAGTATATTCGATATGTGCGTGTCAAGAAAATACGGACTATCTGCATTGATATACGTTTTTACTTGTTATCTCTAGATAGTTGAATACAAATGAAAAATGTGCTCGAAAATCTCATCAAGAGAAAAATTAGTGTTTCTCAATAGTAATGACAATACTTGCACTGGATATATATATCATGTTTAAACATAACTTTAAAGTGAAAAATAAATTATGGTTAAATTTAAGTATTACCTATCCAACTTAATTAAACTGTGTGGGTAATGGTTAACTTTTGTCTTATATTTTAAACAACTTTTCAAAATTTGACTATTCACAAGTATTTAAAACATATTTGTGATAATGTTTGTAATAATTATTTAACAGTTTTTTAGTACATTAAGAATTATTGTTTTTCAAAAGAGGGTATGCACTAAAAGTTCTCATCCTTCTTAAAACAAGAAATATTTAACTTATGATGATGTTGAGTAAATAATGATCTAATTTTATTTAGGGCAAGTGGTTATTCTCAGTATATAAAATTATCTAATTTTTACATTTCATGATAGAAAAGTAAGATAATTTCTAAGAACTATGTAGTATTTTTATAATTTAAAATAGACAATTTATTATTTTCCGGTACAAGACTACTATTTGTTGAAAAATGTATGAACTAGTCTCAAGAGTATCTAACAATATTTATCTTGTTAGATGACGTTGGGACTAAAAATAAAACCAAAAAGTTTTATCAAAAATTTAATACATTTAATTTGTTCATGCGATTTCAGGGTTAATTAATTACCTGAGACTGTATACGAAATTCAAAATTATTCTTTTAATTTTTTACTACAAATGTATTACTGATAGAAAAAAATATAATAATTATGTGAGAAAAAAAACAGTTAATTTATGGCTAAGTATTTAGTAAACCAGTTTATATGGAAATAATTATAGTTTACGTAACCACAATCAAAAAAAATATTTTGATGAATTTTGTATAAATAGTTTTATTTGTATACATGTTTGTTGAACATTTAAGAATGACCTTTTAATTCTAATAATTTATATATACTTGAAAGTTTGAAGTTACGTATAATACGAATAGTTGAGAAAAATAATTAGAGTTAATACTTAAATTTATTTTTACCATTAAATAATAACAAAATAAGAACTTTGAAAATAGTTTTCACATTATCTAATAGAAAATATAAACAAATATACAATGTATACGGATAATATTTAATGAAATTAATTTTGAATTTTTCAATATCTGAGTATTTATTGTTAGATTTTTAAATATAAAAAACTATAGAGGTTTTTATTAGATTTATTTCATAGAAGAGTTTATAAAAATGATTGCATTGTTCATTAGCTTTAGTGATTTTACCCATCGAAGTAATTTTTTTTGTTATCTGGATATAAAAATTAAGGTATTTCATTTGGTAAATAGAGAAGTCCTTATAGAACTTTATCAAGAGTTCTTAAAATTTATATACATTTTACATTATAAATATCTTAATGAAGTGAGTTGGTAAAAATTGTGTTTACACTCTAATTCTAATAAAATTTATGGCTAAAATAAAGGCAATTATCATATTAAAATACTAAGTGATCAATCTTATTAACATACATCTATATTTAATTTAGAATCTTGTGTTTGATGTATCTATCCAAGAAACCTATTACATAAAAATAAAGAGACAAATATTCTAGTATTTTCTAATTCTATTGTATTATAATAAATAAAAAACTTAATTAATATAATATATTTTTATCACAGTGGACAAGTGGGACAACAGAAACACTTGTCAATGATAACAAACTGAATAATTTCTTCCGTGATAAATATTGAGAATCGATCATGCAAGTATCATATGTCTCACAGTTATTGTCATCATGCCTTATTATAAGTTTGACTTAATCGAGTTTCGTTAATCAAAATTATTAGCAAAATATGAATTTTGACATACAAAAAAATGTATATAGATTTTTTATCTTATTTTTCTTATACCAAGTACATTAATGCTTTTGAAGGAATTATTTAATGTTACATTAAATAAATAAAGATTACGATTAACCTTTTTATTTTTTTTATCTTTATCTTTTTATAAATGGTTAAAAAAAATTAAGAGATGCTTTAAATTTTAATGTCAAGTATGATACAATTTTTGAGGACAATTGTAACACTTTTTTTAATTAAAACTATTTATAATTTAATTTGTCATTTAAGCGTAATTGAGACATCACTTAATAGGTACTATATTATTTTATTAAGTAGTAGGGTTAAATATTGAAAGCAATTAAATGTAAAATGTTATTTTTATTATTTATACGTATGTATAAATATGTATTTTGTAGGAACGAGATATATTAATATAGATTTCAAAGTGTAAGAGTTCAAGTCAATTATTTATTTTTTAAAGAAAAAATAAAGTTATATTTTACTGCGTAATTTAACACAGGTAGCATAATTTGGAGATGTATATTCTTCTTACTATTAACAAAGGAAATTAAACATTCTCTTAAAATATATGTATAATAAAACTATAAAAATATTTTCCTAAAAACTTTACCAAATTGACTTTTATCTAGTACCAAAAACGTATTTTAATTTATGTTTGAGAACTGTGTGGGAAATCGAAATGAGAAGTTACAATAAAATTAATCTGGTACCGTATTTTAATTTAGTAAGACAGTTTTACTTTACTTTTTTTAATTATTTACAGGTTTCTTTTTCTTTGAAAAATTACTTTTAGGAACTAATTACTTTACAGATTTTCAAATTTACTTATATTATAAGCATAGTTATTAAAAACAATGACAGGGAATTGTTAAATATCACGATTGTTTAAGAAATTATGATATAAAAAATAGCTGCTTTTAAGCTACATAAAATTGTCAATGACTTAATGTATTTCATGTTCACATTAAAATCATATACAAAAACGGTAGCACAGTGGGGTCGCGGCATAGTGGAGACATTGCAGTAGGGTTCAGTATAGATTTAATCTGACAGTGATTCAAATCACTATCATAAGAAACGCTTCGATGCAAATCTGTAGATAGTGTTTAATTTTNGCTGGAATAATTGTCGCCTCATATAACTTATGATCTACATAACATTTTATACTTTTTTTTTCATTAACTTTTACAATAGAGGACTATATTTAAAATATATGTTATTTTTTGCAATTACAAAAAATATTTTTAAAATTAAGTTTTTTAAAGATTTAAAATAGCCATTTTATAGATATATTTTAAAGAAAAATTTTGATTCAAAAACGCTAATTTTAGTTCAGTAATTACGTGTATACAACATTTATAAGTTTGTTAAATTTTGGTTTTTTTTACCATTTTCTTACGGTATTAAATGTCAGTCCGTGTTATGTAAAGAACGGAAGTAAACATTATCTTTTTAAGTTAATTACTGGGAATAGTACGCGATTTCTTTTCCATGAAAATTATTAACACTAGAATAAGCATCTGTAATTGACATGATAAAACAAGTAGTAGTAAAATTAAGTTTAAAATTATAAAAACGTTATCTAAAACATGTTATAATAAGTAATAGTGAACATAACAGTTTAAACGTGCATTTATTACCATAACTGCTAATAAGAAATATCCTATAATAATATGATATCAATGATAGAATCACGCAAATTAATCTGTCAAATACCATAATGTTTCTAATATTTTGTAATAAAGATTAGAGATAATCATTTCTGTAAAAAGCGCATTCAAACGTTTTGAATATCGATGGAAAAGAAATAGCGTACTGTTACTAAAAAATAACGTAAAATAATAATGTTTACTTCCGTCTTTTACATAACATGGACTAACATTTGATACCATAAGAAAATGGTAAAAAAAAAAAACAAAATTAAACAAACTTCAAAATACTATATAAACGTAACTACTGAACTAAAATTAACTAAAATAATATAAAACATACTTTAAATATTGTAAAAATTGATAAAAAAAAAACGTATGAAATATTTTGTAGATCATAAGTTATATGAGTTGTCAGTTATATCTATTCTTCTCTGTATAATTACATTACGCCCATTATTTTTATGTTTATTATTATAAATAATTGTTATTTTTAATTTTTTTAACTTAAAAAATATGTAAAAATTTTTGTTTACAGACAGTAATTNATATTTTGTAGATCATAAGTTATATGAGTTGTCAGTTATATCTATTCTTCTCTGTATAATGACATTACGCCCATTATTTTAATGTTTATTATTATAAATAATTGTTATTTTTAATTTTTTTAACTTAAAAAATATGTAAAAATTTTTGTTTACAGACAGTAATTTCGTGCTTGGAAACGCACAAGTACCTTCGCTTTATCCAATAGTATATTGCTCTGACGGTTTTTGTGAGCTATCGGGTTTTGCTCGGGCGCAAATTATGCAGAAAGGTTGTGCTTGCAAGTTTCTGTACGGTCCAGATACTAGCGATGAACATGTCACACAAATTGAAAAAGCATTGGAGTGCAAAGCAGAGCTTAAACTAGAGTTGATATTTTACAAAAAAAATGGTAAGTCAAAAAATAAAAATAAATACTTTTGAAAAAAATTGCAATATTACACAGTGAGTGTTAGAAAAACCCAGCACAGTGGTAACGTGGGNATACTTTTGAAAAAAATTGCAATATTACACAGTGAGTGTTAGAAAAACACAGCACAGTGGTAACGTGGCACAGTTGGGTCAAGTATAATGATATCTGACAGTGATTAACATTACTATCATAAAAAATACTTCGACTCAAATCTGTAGATTTTGTTAAATTTTATAAAATTGGTGGATTATTCCAAAAGCTATATGATCTGCTATTTCCTTATTTATATTTTGATTAAAATAAACTATGTCAAATTAATGAGGGATATAAATATTATTTCTTATAAAAAAATTGTATTGATCCATTGAGGATAATGTCTTCGACTAGATACGATCTTTTGACGTATCGTTGAAAGAAATCGGTTTGGTGAGAGGTGAGAAAAAGTGGTAACAGACACACAAAAAAAAAAAAATACATCATAGTAAAACTAATACCTTCTCAGCTTCGCATCGAAGCTAAAAAATTATTTTGATTTGTTCATTTTTTAATAAGTTATGACAATTTGTAGAAAAAAAAATGGAAAAATGTCGAAATTTACCGATTTTAAAAATCGTAATTTTTTGGGAATATTCACCATTTACGGAAAATGAGGGAAAATTTTTCAATTTTTTAGTGTAATATTTTCAACTAAATACGATTTGTGATCTTTTGATGTAAATAAATAAACTTATCATAGTAAAATTAATATCTTCGCATAGAAGTTAAAATAAAATAAAATAAATTTTTTGTTGAAAATGTAATTTTTTACGATATTATTTTTCTGGTATTGGTATTAAATTTCTAAAATTGAGGGGGATTACATATTATTTTGACAGTTATATGTACAAATAGTACACTATTTACAATTGAAAAACATATTTTTGGTCGTAGTTGTAGTGTTAAAAATAAGTGTCTACTCTAATTTCTAAAAAAAAAAAAGATAAGTTATATCCAACTATGATAAATAGCAATAAAAGATTTAGTATATCAAATTGAGATATGTTTTTAAATTCAAAGGAAATTGATGAAAAGGTTTTTTAATAGAAATGCGTTTTATAGTAATGTACAAGAAAAAAGCTATTATAGAAACCGTTATAACAAGTGCAATACTATATAAACTCATTTTTTTTACCCTAATTATTCAAACATTTGATTTAAATAATATGGTATTACACTAGGTACAGTGATAATTTTATATAAACCTAATATTATATAATGTTTCGTTTAGATATTTTAATATTCTTACATTTTATATAGTGTCAAATTACTGTTGTTTAATTACCATTATCCAAATTTAAATGACTAAAATCAGGAAAATTGTTTAATAATAAAGAAAAGAGGCCTACTTTTAGAAGCAAAACATTAATAATTTTTCATATTATAGCTATTGTGATGTACAAAATTGAACTTCGGTATATAAGTTACATATGATTGCGTAAATTTTAGATTGGTATGTCTTTACCTTGATCTAGTAGATCATTAATCAAGAAATATTTTTTAATTTGTAATAAAAAATAATATTGTTCAATATAGCTATTAAGTTTGTTTTTAAAATAAATATCTAAATTTGTATGTGATTCATCGTATATCCAATTAAGTAATTTTCCATCGACGTATTTGAACTAGAATATACACTGTGTAGTTGTGATAATGAAGGATATGTTATTTTATTGAAATATGAACATGTACCATACTAAATTATTGCGTCAGGCCTATGACTTAATTTGAACCCAAATTTGTTGAAATATTGTTAATCATAGGTAATTTCATGATTATAATCTTAGAATAAAAGTTTATTATTTTCTATGTACATATTGGATAACAAGCGAAACTAAAAACTTAAATGATGCGACGACATTTTGATAGAAATTGTATCACAGACGACAAAATGACCATTGTGTAGCATAGGTACTATTGTTGAATTGTTCCAAAGGGAAAAAATATCCACAAAGTCGTTTTGGTCTCATGAGACTGTTTTGTTAGTATTTGAAACGTTTGCATTCGTTTGTAAAAAGCTTTTTCTGTGCCCTGTTTGTTTTAGTAAAACATTTTATTGGCGAGATCACACGCACAAGAATATATTTAATACAAATGTCTTCGCTGTCTCTGAAATATTCTTTTTGTAAGATTTTTGCAATGAAAGGAAATTTTTTTTCTTACAAGACCCTTGTGAATTACGACGACTGTCATTTCTATATTTTGTCTTTCCAGTGGTTAGAATATACGATCTCTAAATATCTGTTTGTATCCATTACCATTAATCCACTAGAGTTCTAATATTTTTTTTTACTTTTAAACCTTTTTCTATCACTATTAATTCCTTCGTATTTACAAAAAATAATACTCGCCTACTGAGACCAATGCCCATTCAAATTCTTATTGACATTCATTTCATGTCTTGTATTAAACTCTAAGACTTAATGTAGTGAAGTCTGTATGAGTCCAAAATACATAAAAGGTCACTCTATTTTATAACTTGAGGTAAATAAAATTACTTTTATAATTATACTACCAACTATACAGTTCTTTTATTTTAATTTTTTTTTATATACATACAAAATAATGTCTCTTTAAAAATCTGTGCAGGATTTCTAATTTACAATTGAATTTATTTTCTCATGTTTTTTAATAGAAATTAACACAAATTTATTAATACTCGTTTTTTTTATTAACATTATCATGAACTTTATATAGACCATATAAAATTTGTATAAATTCTAATTTTTTTTTTAACTGATTATACAAATGGCTATTTCAAATATTACAATTTATATTTTTAAGGCAATATAATAAAAATATTTGTATAATTTAGTTTAAAATCAAAATTATACAAATACTTTAAATTAATTAATTTAACTTCCTTACTTCGATTGTAATTATTTTACAATGTTGTACTAATTAACAATAAAAAAAGCTCTTAGTTTGAAAAATATTTATTATAATTAAATAGCTGTCTTTCATTTGTCAAGTACAAAGTATTTACTGATTATTTAAGTGTTAAGTAACAATGACTTTTGTAAATTATTAAGGAATGAAATAATTATTCAACACTTAATAGCTTTTAAAAACTGTAAACTATTTTCAATATAAGAGAAAAGTTTAAACTTGAAAGTAGTATAGCTTTTAAATGCGTTTTTAAGTTTTAAACTTTAATCATATAGCTGATTTTCCAAAAAATTTTTTAATAAAATAAAATATTTTGCTGATTCTAGTTATTTTATTTTTTAACAAAAATGCTGCACCAATATTGGCAACAGGGTACGTGGTTTGGGATACAATCGGCAAAAGACACGAAAACACTAGTTTTCTTTGTTAATGTAAAAACAATTTTATAATTAAGTAAAGCTAAACAATTCGAAAACAATATATAATTAATAATGGATTTCTTCTCTGTTTAACTAAAAAGGAATAGTATTAATGCCTCAGTTGTCTCGTAGTAATAGTATTGTATTTTATTTGACAGTACTGCCATTATTTATCGTAACAAGAGATGGTCATTGGTGTTAGGATTAAAATTTTTGTTTAGTGGATTAGCTCAAAACTTATTCAAAGGGATACAATCCAAATGAAATTTTGTTTTTGAAGATTGAATATATCAGCTATAACATAAGTGTATGTGACTTAAGATCCTTTAGACATTAATGTCAGTTTGATGATGCTTAACTATTTATTATTTACAAGGAAATACTTGTATATATAACAACATTTATATCAGACATTGGTCAGAACTATCGAGTTTATTATACATAAAGTAACATAAAACAGCATGTCACCCTAAAAATAAATTTTTTTAAGTAATTATGGTTCTGGTTACATTTTAATGAAAAGGTAGATTTTCTTAGCTAACAAAATATGTCATAAAGAGAATTTACCTAGCTTACTTAAATTTAATCTTTCTGCTTTAATTTAAATGATTTAAAATGTTTTATGATTTGAATATTTTTATGGAAAATAGTAAGAATAGTTTGAAGAAAAATTCAAATTTGTATTTGTTAAATTTAATATTTTTTGAAATTTAAAAGGTACGAATTATATTATATAAGATCGTAGTTATTTTTTGATAGTAAGGTAATTTATTAAATATAAAATTTGAAATAATAATATATAAAAAACATTTTAGGAAAATCAAATTGTTGCAGATGTAAAAGCTTTTGAAGAAATTTATGGAAATTTAATTAAAGTTAGTTGATACGAAACATTTTATCTTATTTAAAAAAAATTGATAAATTAAATTTTTATCGAATTTGAAGTTTAAAATCTATTATCATATTTTTATTACAAATGATATTTTTGGGAACATTTTTTAAGTAAAATTTATTAAATTTAATCAAAAGAACACCTGAGCTGGTATCTTTATCACCGATTGTTATGTGAGTCCTGGTAGTACTTTAAGAACAATAACCTGTTATCTATAAACGTGATGTCTGTTATTATATCGTCCACCATAAACATATTAAAAAGTTTATTCATATGATATTATCTTATCATCTAATATTTTACTATCGGGCCATTAAATTTTTTTGAAAAAAAAATATCAAAGAAATTTTAAAGAGTTAAATATAAATAAAAACCCAGCACAGTGGGGTCGCGGCATAGTGGGGACAATGCATAGTTGGGTCCAGTATATATGATATCTGACAGTGATTAAAATCACTATCATAAAAAACGCTTCGATGCAAATCTGTAGATAGTGTTTAATTTCAAAAAAAAAAAATTGTTAAAATAGCATATTTTTGAATGTGGTAGCCATTTGCGTATAGAAGATAGGTCGTCGGGACAAATTTTTTTATTTTATTTTATAGTACACAAAATAAGCTTTAATTTGATGTATGTTTAAAGGACGCAGTATTTCCGGAACATTTTCAAAAATTAAGTTGAAAAAGTTATTTTTTGTAAAAAAGTTACTATTTTAAATCCTCCCAGTGAGCAGAATAAGTGTT